TTCCCTGCAGTCGTTCTTTTCTTCTCTGTCACTGAGCTTTTGTTCCTCTGCCCCTGGCTCCTTTTTAGAACATGGCTTCAAAGGCAACAGTGCAAAATGCAGAATAATCATCTGCCTGTGCTGTTAGAAGAAAGTCCAAAAACAGTTGATTCTGTTCATCTGATCACCATTGATCACAGGTTGTTCATTAATGGTCATGACAATTTACATATTAATGATCAAGGAACTGAGCTCGCGGCCCATTGTTCTAGTTTTAGTCATAAGGATTATAAGGCTGGAGAAACCTGCTGTCACCTGAGACCGACAAAGTCACCTGGATGATGATGAAACGTTTCTCCCACTGAGAACGTCCAGATGAACAGAATCCACTTTTTGGGGATTTGTTTACCTGGATGGTTGAGCGTGCATCAAGACGTTAGAAGTGTTTTCTGCATGAAAGCACAGGAGGCCCACTCAACAAAACTGCTCCACGGTGACGCTGGTGGTCAAAAGTTCAGAAAGCTCTTTAAACAAGAACACTAAAGAAATGCAGAGAACTGTAGAAGCACTCATAGGAACACCGGGCAAGTTTACAATGAACAATAGGGGCCAGTATCCTGGAAAGCTTTGAGTCAGGCTTCTAACAGGGAAACGTGACCCCAGGTTGGGTGTTTGGCAAGAAGGGAAACTTTAGTTTTGTCAATTGTGTCGTTTATCGCACGTTTAAAAACTGATGAAACATCCAGAAGCCTCCCATCCGAAAGATAATCAATTTAAAGTCACATTTGGGAAAGAAAAACACTTAAAAACGATGTATCATTTGTTCCTGTATTGCAGAACAAAACCCGCATTTAGCTTTTCAGTGTGCAGCAGAGGAAGCTGAGGTCACCCAAAGGTCATTTTTTCTTTTCCTTTTTCCAGATTCAAGGAGGAGACCCGACTGGCACAGGCACAGGTAAGATTAGCACTGCACTTAAACTACATTTTGAATTCATTTGAGTGGTTGAATCATTAATAGTCCCTTTTTGGAAGCTTTGCGCAAATACTGCAAGTCAAGAGTGTTACTAAATACGGGATTACATACGTACAAAGCAACAGAGATGATGTGGATAGAGGCGGCTGAGGGTAGAGTGCTGAATGGGGCTGTGGTGAAACACCAATCATCTAGCATATGCTGTAATTTTCCTGCTTTTACAACCACTTTAAAAGCAAAAGTGTAATTGACTGCTAGGCCACATGTAGTTAATTTCCTGCCTTCGTGTCGTCGGAGCCGATGTGAGAGTTTGCAGCACAAAGTGAGCTTTGTGTCTGTGGGCGTCTCTGAACACTATGCAAAACGCATCCAGCATGACAGATTTATAGAGGTGCAGAATTTCTGGCCTGTGGGCAAAATGTTCCTCGTCACCTGGACTGAACAGTGTGTGCACACAACTCCTTAGCAGACCTTCAACTGGACTTAAAGGAGGGATTCTCTGCAGTGCTTAAAGAGGCCGTTCATCCAGAATCAAACTGGCGTGTTTTCCCACTGGCTTGTAGAGCTGTTTATCTTTATAGATAGATTTATTATCAGTGGGTCAGTTTTGGAGATATTGGCTCTAGAGGTGCCTTTTCTTAAATATAATGGACTCAAATGGTATGCGTAGATTCATGTGAAATATTTTCGTTTTCTCACAGCTGTACGAGTATGTAAGGCCAAACTGCTACTGACCCACTTCCCTTTCTCAGGATTTTGTTATTGTCTGCTAAAGATATCACCCCCCTAATGAGGAAGAGGGCAAACGTTGCCTCTGTCTCTTGTTCTCGCCCAGTCTGTATGCCTTTAATCCTTTGAAAGGCTTTGAAATTTTTAAAAAAGAGCATTTAAAATGAAAAGTTTCAGCAGCAGTGTCTCTGTGCAGAAATCATGACACGCTGAAGCCATAAAATCCACAGTACTTGCTGTTACAGTTTCATGTAGGAAGTGTTTTCTTCCTGATGTCGTCATCCACCAACCAAAAGAAGCAGGCAGCAAGTTAGCAATAAAGGTCAGCTGAGGATGGACACCATTAGGAAAGAGTTGTTTTTTTAAGGGCTGAAAACCACCTAACCACACGCTTAATGGAAAACATAACAACCTTTCAAAGGAGCTTGCAAAGAAAAGCGTCTGGACTTCTTTAAGTTATTTGAAGACGTTTCACCTTCATCCGAGAAGCTTCTTCAGTTCTAAGGTCAAATGGTGGAGAGTCCCAGATTTAAACCCAGTGGGAGTTTCCCCCCACAGAGGGACAAAAGGACCCCCTGATGATCCTCTAATCGCCTGAGCCAAGGTGTGAAACTGGGTGTGGGTCCCAATCAGCCAGGGGTTCAGGTGAGCTCATTGTGAAACCCACCTTATCATGCGAATTCCTGAGGTCAGATGGCCCAGGATGTGAGTGGGCGTTAAGGCGTCTGGGCATTCCTCGCTGCACTGTACAGCACACACGCTTAGACAAAAACTGGTTCACCCAAAAGACAAAACTCCAAAACACAGACTTAACAATGTGGTGTTTGCTGTACAGTGCAGCGAGGAATGCCCAGACCTCTACATCGAGAGACCAAACAGCCACTTCACAAGCGCATGGCACAACATAGAAGAGCCACCTCCACAGGACAAGACTCAGCTGTCCATCTGCATCTTAAGGTCAAAGGTCACTCTTTCGAGGATGCCAATGTTCACATTTTGGACAGAGAGGACAGATGGTTTGAAAGAGGAGTGAAAGAAGCATCTATGTCCACTGTGAGCGACCATCTTTGAACAGAGGCGGTGGTTTACGACACCAACTCTCTGCCATCTATAATCCAGTTTTGAGATCCCTCCCCAGACGCCTTAACGCCCACTCACATCCTGGGCCATCTGACCTCAGGAATTCGCATGATAAGGTGGGGCCAGGTTTCACAATGAACTCACCTGAACTCTGGCTGATTGGGACACACACCCAGTTCCACACCTTGGCTCAGGCGATTAGAGGATCATCAGGGGGTCCTTTTGTCCCTCTGTGGGGGGAAACTCCCACTAGGTTTATATCTGGGACTCTCCACCATTTGACCTTAGAACTGAAGAAGCTTCTCGGATGAAGGTGAAACGTCTTCAAGCAACTTAAAGAAGTCCAGACGCTTTTCTTTGCAAGCTCCTTTGACTACGATGACCTGGATGACTGAGAACCTTCACAGACATAACAACCTTTCTTTTCCCCTGTTGAGATCCTTTTGTTTCTGTAAGGCTATTAAGACAGACAGTAGGTTTCAAGTACGCGATTGTTACTTATCTTGGCAGATCCACAGTGGGCAAAGTATTCCTCTAATCATTTTTAATATTCTGATATTTCTGGGATGGCCTCTGGCATAGTGTCATATACAAGCCTGTTGCTCCCATCATAAAGAATAATAAGCCTCGCCAGCCTCAGGAGAAAGTCCCATTACACTGTCCCTAAATTGAGACTCTCGTCATGGGTAGATACGTCATTTTTATTTGCAGGGTGAAACAGTTGCTCGGTGTGCTACAAATAGTTACTGTTCACAATACTTTTGTGTTTCCTTTGAGTAATCGGATCATGATTTCTGGAAAGACGATCTGTAAAACATTTTTTTTTAAATATGGCTTTTTTTACTGCCTGCAAGCAAATGCCATCTTGTTCCATTATGTTCAAGAAAAGGCAGACGACTCTACAGCCGATTTCTCCAAAAGGCATAAATTAGATTTTGGGTGAACTGCTCTTTTAATAGTCCCAAAGCACGTTGTAGGGTGCAGTCTAGCATGCTGTTTGTGTAATAAAATGAACTGTAGTGAAGGTTTGGAGTGCGACTCTCAATCTGTCGTTTTGCTTTGGCCCTTTTGTGGAAACCAAAGCAGATGTGATGAGTTTCACATGTTGTTTAATGTGAAGTTTTCTGTATTCTCAAATACAAGCATGAGGTAAAAAAAACCTAATTGTGTATTTTAAGGTCAAACAAATATTAATACTGTGTGTGCATGGGGAGGTAGTGATGTTAAAATAAGTTATTAGGTCATGTTGGAGTGCTTTCCTGTCAGGAGTTTCAGGAATTGCTTAAATGTTTTAAGCGAATCAGTCTTTTTCACTTCCTGTATATGACATTCAGCTAACTGCTCACTGTAGCGTTAATGCTTTGCCAAGTTTTGAAAAGCTTCATTTATCTAAAACCCTGCAAGATCAGGTGCTTTGGCCAGAGCTGAGTTTTAAATACTGAACCATGAACTCGCCGATGCTCATGCTCAGGTATTTAGAAATGCTAAATGTTTATTAGACTGAAGCCGTCTTCACGTCTCTTCCTTCTTTCCCGTTTAGGTCGAGCAAAGTTTAAGTTTGTACCATTGGTTTAATTTGAGGAATATTTGAAATTCCCCACAGAGGGATTTTCACTCTAATTTAATCATTAACTCGCTGGTGGGAATTAATTTCTCCCTCGGCCCTCCTCTCTCGCTCACCTTCATTTACGATCCATTCGTAGCGAGGTAAAATGTCAGCGACTTTATAAATTATACAAAAATGTCACCGGGGGAACGTCGTGGCTGCAGAAGCCTCTACAGAATTGATTGGTTGGTTGTATGCATCGCAAACACACTCACGGGTACATATTGTGCCTACGTGGAGACACACACACATGCACGTACACCAGCTGGCAGCACGCAGGACAGTGAAACACATCTCAGGGCGACAGATCCTTTCCCCTGTTGGGAGCCAATAAGCCCCTGCAGTGCGTATTCCTGTATACTCATTATGATGATTCTTAATGATGAAGTCAGTCTGAATAATGATTCACAGCTGAAGGCTCTCGACACGCCTCCGTGTTCAAGGGCAACCGGGTCTCTTGCCTGTCTCTCTCATGGTGCAGGAGTCTGAATAAGTGGCACTGGCAGAGCCGCTAACTCGAGTTGTTTTCATACAATCTAATTTGATTTGTTACACAATATAAAAATATAACATGCACTTATGTGGAGCTGAAAGCTGAAAACAAGACTTGCACATGTTTCCTTTTTCCTAACAAACTTCGAAGTTGTTTTTCCGTCCACCGTTTCTCACTAAAACCCTCGCCGTGTCCTCGAGGCTCGACGTGTCTCCTTCTGTTAAGCGTTTGTTGATGTTTTTATTTTTGAAAGCTGCGTTGCGTTTTCCATCTGTTTATACCAGCTAGCAGTCTCCTTTTTCCCACCCTTAGGGCATGTCAGCTGTGGATCAGCGAGAAACCACAGTTTATTTATACAACCGTGTGGGTCTGTGGATAAATGACAAGCATTTCTTTACTGTACGCACATGACCAATCTGGTTAGGAAGCTCAAAGTGCACTTTCCGTCCTGGTCATGGGACACTCGATCGGTTTGTTTCCCCTCAAGGATATTTAAGGGAGCGTAGGAGTTTGTCCAACCGGTCTATATGTGTTTTGTGGATTTGGACTCGGTGCTCTGGGAGTGTGGGGTCATTGTTACACCCTGCCTGGCCTGTGTACAACCATAGAGAGAGTCTGGCTCACATTGGCAGCAGTAAGTCGGACTCTATCCCAGTTAGCCAGGACTGTCCTCTGTCACCAGCTCGGTTAATCATTTTCAGGCAGAATTTTCAGGTGCAGCCAAGCTAGTGCTTTTTGCAGACGATGTAGGTTTGTTCGATTATATTAAACAACAACCTGCAGCTCTCACTGGGGTGTGAAGCACATGGGATGAGAAGGAGCACCTCCAAGTCTGAGACCGTGGTTCTCAGGCAGAAACGACTTGTTGGCCTAAGTGAAGGAGTGGAAGGGAGTCAGAGCTGCTACTCCTCCACATCAAAGCAACGCGTTGAGGTGGTTTGGGAATCTCATTAAGATGCCTCTGGGGCTCCTCCTATGAGCGGTGTTTCAGGCGAGTCAGAGCGGGAGGAAACCCCGGTTAGGAAACCCTGGGGCAGAACACACTGGAGAGATTATGTCTTTGCTCAGACGGCTGCCGCCCCAAACTGGACCCGGGTTAATTTAGATTTACTTTCTAAACGAAGAAAAAACTCGTCAGGCATACAAGGGCTTTATTAACGCCTCATGTTACAGCAGTACAAGCCTCAGCAAGGAGAAGTGAACTAGAGTCAGTCTTTCTAAAATGTATTACGAAATCATTCACTCACCATGTATTCTGCATGATTTGGGCTCCATATAGCAGCCATGCTATAACCAAAACCAACTTTGTCCTGGTGGGGAGGAGGTCACCGTCCACCCACACAAACACAGCTGAGTTTATTTCTCTCTCTAAAGCATGAAGAGAGAATATTGGTAATTATTTAGCCTTCTATGGAGAGAAAAGTGCCATATAAATATATTTAACTTACTTTACTTGCTTACTTTTTACCTCAGACTTATAGCTCTGCCCGTAGGGGTGTGGGGTCTTTTCCCCAACAGAGTAGCAACATTGGAGAGGAAAGAAACACATGCACAGTTACATTAAGCTCCAGCAGAGAGAGGCTGCTCTTCAAAATGTGAAGAGCGCCCAGTAAACACAGCCAGTGAGCCAGGATGCTTAATCCCAAGACCTTGAAAGCTGGACAGCAGGATGTACAGCATCCGTCAACAGTTCCTGCTAACATGACCCAGTGTCTGCAGTGTAAAAGGTTTAGCCTGAGCAAATATTGAAGCTTTACCTGCAGAAACATTTTCAGCCAGAGCGCAAGAAAGTGTTAAAACTGCATGTCAATTAGGACTCTGAAGCAAATATGTTATTAAGGACTTGACTATTTTTGTTGTTTTCCATCGTGACGTAATGTTTTCTGTTGTTTTCCTTCTCTCTGTCGTTCTTTCTCCATCCTCAGGAGGCGAATCCTTCTGGGGAAAACCTTTCAAGGATGAGTTTCGCCCCAACCTATCCCATACCGGCCGGGGGATTCTCAGCATGGCAAACTCTGGTCCAAACACCAACAAATCTCAGTTGTAAGACACATTTTTACTAAACTTAGAACAGTTGCCGGCAGGGAATTATGTTGTTTCGTCTGTGTCGTTGTCTCTGATGAGCGTACACAGAAACTCGTGTTAGCAGCACAGCCATTAGTTCGTTTTACTGTTTTGCTGTTTAGTGTTAAATATCTGTTATAAAAGCCAACTGGGGCACATTTTGTCACAAAAGAGCTCTCTGATCATTCAGCTAATATTCCACA